GCACGGAGCCTGCTTTAGATTTTGTGTCTCCCTCACTCTCTGTGCCCCTCCCTGCTCATGCTTGCCTGTTCTCAAAAACAAACAAACGAACAAACATTTTAAAAAATTACCAACAAGAAGAATGAAGCTTTAATGTAGTTTTTATAAGATGACTAAATTTGACACTGTAACAATTTTTTGGCTCTTTATTGTAAAAATAACCTTGGTAGTAAGTACGTAGGATTCCTTTCAAATACTTCTTGTTCGAAGAGAGTAAAAGTATCTGTGAAAAGATCCCAGGAATTAAGACGTCTTATTGAATTTAGTAGGCTCTGGAATGTGAGGAGTTGGAGTAACTCATATTAAGCAAATAGTACAAATAAATATTTGAGAACTTGTAAGATGTCCTTTTCTTGAGTATGGGACAGGGAAAGAGGAATTTTAAAAAATGGCAAAAGTGCTTTGGGCATTCCTTTGACATCACAGAACTTTTCTCAGCAGGACCATCTCGGTTTCTTTGCAATGAATGTATTTAACGCACAGGAGAGTCGAGTCAGAAACATAATTTTAATCTGGAGTTGATGATGCTTAAGATGGTAGAAAATGAGTTTTGAAATACTTAGTTACATTTACCTTGCATTTAACTTGTGTGGACCTATTTCTGGGTTCTGTGTCCCATTCATTTTTGTGTCTAGCCCTCTGATCTTGATTATGAAATCAGAATTATAGACCACAGAGTTTGATGTGCTGTGTTCCCCTGTGTAATATGGGAGCATTCAGGTTAGTTGAAATGATATTCAGAAGCAGGGAGAGGCCACAGAAGAGGTTCACATCTCCATTTTCCTCCTAATTTTCAGTTGATACCATGACAAAGATTAGTCATTTTGGACAAAGTGACACTAAACAGTGTGGATGGGAGGCAAGAGTGAGAGTTTGCAGGATTAGGGCTCCTGGGGAGGTCAGAGGAAATGGTGAGCTGCTAAAAACAGTCTCCAGTTTGGCCTATGACATTTGGAATTTGCCCAGCCATATTTTACATGTCCTTATTATTGATGCTCACTCCATATTAGAATTGGAATTGCTATACTGAGCTCCACCAAGATTGAATTGATGGACTAATTAATCTTAAAAAGATAAATTGAATTTGATGAACTGCTCCCAAGTTTTAAGTTCACCTTAGGGCGTAAAAGCAGTCATTCATTTTTTTTTTCTCAAGTTTTGATTTAAATTCCAGTTAGTTAACATACAGTGTAATATTAATTTCAGGTGTAGAATTTAGTGACTCATCACTTAAGTATAACACCCAGTGCTCATCACAGGTGCTCTGTTTAATACCCATCACCCATTCAGCCTATCTCCCACCCACCTCATCTCCAGTAAATAAACAAACAAAAAAAGACCCTTAAAAACCAGACCCTTAAATACAGAGAACAAACTGGTGATTGCCAGAGGGAAGGTGGGTGTGAGGATGGGTAAAATAGATAAAGGGGATTAAGCGTACACTTATCTTGATGAGCATTGAGAAATGAAAAACAAACATATATATACATATATAATTGCAATGTTGTTGCTATTTACTGTTATTGTCATTATCGTAAAGCAGTTTTTTAATAGATATAATGAAAACTTAGCAAACTTTTTATGACCAGTCTACCAAGATGGACTTACCTGCAGAATTAATTTCAGCAGGTTGTTTATTTTTCCATCTGAAAGTTGGCTGTGCACTGAGACCTTTTGCGACGCAAGGAACACTGTCAAAAATGTTGGTATTTCTAAAGCCATTTTAGATGGAATTATACTTTTTAATAAGTTAGTAAGATATTGTGTTTATCATCTTATTGGAGTAGAAACTCCAATAACTGATGCAGTTAAAAGTAGCCAAAAGCCTAAATGAATATTCAGTTAACAAAACTGATTTTTGTGTGTCTTGGCTGCCTCACCTTCCTGAAAATGCAGTTATTTAGTGTGGCACAGGTGAAGGCTGATGGCAAATATGAGTCACTTCTTCTTTAGTTCCCTGGGAAGCCGCCTTTGGACCTGGAATGTCACTGGCACTTCTTGTTCTTTCCCTCTTTGTTTCTTTCCTGATCAAAAACAGACCTCTTTCTGGAAAACTTAAAGAATTTGTGTCTGGGAAGAGCAGTAACGGGAAATTTTAGGTGCACCAGGAGGACTCAAGCATGTTCTCAGATCAGCTGAGAGCCTCCTGTGTTTTGCCTGTTCTATTTTGTCTTTAAGCATGATGGTAGCTACAAATAACTGCTGTCTCACATAGGGTTTTATTTCTTTGAATTCAGCCTGTTAGCACAAATATACATACATATATACTTTTTGCCTTTTAAGAGCTGAGCTCATAAGAGAGCAGAAAGGTCTAGTGTTTGGCCAAGTCCTTTTTATTTACTGCCCTGAGTTCATCTCCCTCTGAAGTACCTGTAATTGGGATGCTTCCTTCTCCCCCCTACCCCCCCCCCCCCCCCCCCCCCCCCCCCCGCCCAACATTTCAGTAAAGGGAGAATAACTCTGGAACAGCCAGGGATGTAAAATTTATTGGAAAGACAGTAATTGCCTTGTCCCTGGGGGGCAGTGTGTGTAGTTAGACACTGAACCACAGGTTTCTTTTCTGGCAAGAGAATGGACATGCATTATTGGAGAAAAAGAATAAGGGAATGATTTCAGTGCAATGTTTCTCCAGAGATCTGTCGGTGTCAGAAAGAAGAGGGAGGAGTGTTGTACCCTGTTTATCATGCAAATTTGTTGTCCCTCTAAAGCAGCATCTGTTCTATCCCAGATCTCTGTGTCCCTGTCTTTGGTTGGCAAGACCTGGGAACAGTTAGCATGTGTAATTCCTCAAGGTTAAGATAATGGTTATAGTAGATGGATGAAGTGAAAAATGTATTTCCATCTTTCATTATCCGACAGGGCTAACAGTATGGCTAAGGTGGTATGTAGATACTGTGTGCACCCTTACAAATGTTCTCACTTGAGATATTTGAATATATGAGAGGAAAAGTTATTGATTCCTTTCCGATTTTTTAGTAACATTATGTGTGGGGGTGCCAGCTGGGAAATATTACCCAGGAAGCTAGCAGAGCCCCGAGTGTGCCTTGGAGGAAGAGAGGACACCGACATTATTTGTCATTGGATCTTTATACACCAAATGGCTGAGGTGCTGACTCCAAATCAGCTACTTAGTTTTCCTAAGGGACAGAGTGCCACTGTGTCAGCTGCCAAACAAAAAAGAGAAATCTAAAACACAAAAATAAATTTATTCTCAAATTAAGTAAGTTGTCTTCAAAACAACCTTGCATGATGAGCTTAACACTGTAAACAAAGCATGAGGCTTTTCTTCCTCTAAGAAGCGCCAAAGAATATTGACCTTAGTGTTCAGCTACCTGATTGTGATGTCCCAGAATACACAAAGCTGCAGCTTCCCAGACAGACAATTAAATTTAAATGCAAAAGACATTAACGAAACATTAAAGTATGTAAATGAGTATGTGATTCATAGTAACACAAATGCTCCTACAGTGAAGTATTTCAGAGTTCATGGTTTCCCTAATCATCTCTTCATGTCTGTTTTGTTTCCTGGCTTCCTAATGCTAAAACATCATACCATTTTTTAAAACTTATCAAGTGCTGAGAGAGTTCCTAGGGAATAGTGGCATTCTCAGAGGTAAACAGGATCCAGATCACTTAGGGCTTATTGATTTTATGATCAGTACTTAGGTTGCTGCTAAAAGCAGATAGGTTTCCAATACATATCTGAAACCTTAGAGGCCTTTCCACCTCATCCATCTTCAGGAGCAGTGAAGAACTCACTCTGCAGGCGATTACTAAGGAGAACTCAAAAGTAGTAAGCATCACTCATCTGTGGGATACCAGGTTAAACTAATGTAAAATACTCTTATTTAACTCGAATACAAAAGAAGTCAGAATGATTATCAAAGGATCAAAAGGGAACTTAAAGCTTTTAGAAGATTTGCATCTCATCTCCATTACTGGCTTTTGTACTTCTTTTTAAAATTCTTTTTGTAATCTTTATTTTTGAGAGAGAGACAGAGTGGGAGTGAGGGAAGAACAGAGAAGAGAGTGAGACACAGAATCCAAAGCAGGCTCCAGTCTCTGAGCTGTCAGCACAAAGCCTGATTTAGGGCTCAAACTCACAAACGATGAGATTATGACCTGAGCCATAGTTGGATGCTTAACCGACTGAGCCACCCAGGCGCCCTTGGGTTTTGTACTTCTAACATTTGGTTGGGGTTTATTTCTTTACCAGATGGGACTGAAGTTAAAAGTGCTTTGATGATATCACCATTTTTGTGGCTCACCACCTGTTCTAAATTAATCCGTCACCCAACTGGTGGTGTTCTTGTATTATGCAATGAAATCTTTTTAATGGAGATTTATAAGATAAGTTGAGAGTACAGTAAAACTTGCTAATCCAGAGACTTCCATTATTGGGAACTGGTGATTACTTGATTTGCACGTAACTAAACCTTGTCTTTAATACCCATTAAAAATAAGAGCCTTGGTAATATACTGTTCTAGAATTTTTACTTTCACGAATGGTATGTGAATGGATGGAAAGATACACCTTGGAGAAGGGAGAAGAGACAGCCCACAACATTAGAGTTGTTCCTCAGTCTCAGCTGAGAATCTGAAGTGAAAGGATCTTGAGGCAGAAAAGCAGAAAGAAACAGCCTGCGAGGCAGACGTAAGGGAGATTTTCGAAAGGAGTGTCTTCATGGAAGACACTGTATTTCATGGAAAGCAGCATGATATACAGACAGAGGTTAGGACAGAACTGAGGAGACTGTACATTGTGAACTGAAGGGGAGATCCAAATGTGAGGTATTGTTAGTATTTGGGAAATTTACACTATAAAGATGAAAAGTACAAGAGGAAAGGTACATAAACTTGTCATGTCTTGTAAAAGGAATAAAGCTTTAGAAATGATAACAGGTTTTTCTTAAATATCTTCAGGTTTTTCTGCTTAAAATTGCTGTTTTTGTTCTTAACAGGGCCGGTGGGAAAGTCAACAGGATGTATCCCAAATTGCAGTTTCCAGAGGAATAGCTCCAGTTGCCCCATCCCTCCCAGACCGTTCTCAAAATAACCATTCTCCCGACCCAGGTAAGTTACCTTTTCATTTGTCAACCACTGTCATGGGATTTGAGCATCTTTCAGAAATAGTTTAAAACAGGATTTCCTGGGGCACCTGAGTGGCTCAGTTGGTTAAGCATACACTCTTGATTTTGGTTCAGGTCATAATCTCACAGTTTGTGAGATCAAGCCCCACATCAGGCTCTGCACTGACCACATGGAGCCTGTTTGGGATTCTCTCTTTCCCTCTCTTTGCCCCACCCCTGCTCACATTCTCTCTCTCTCTCAAAATACATACATATATACATAAACAAACTTTAAAACAAGATTTCCTACCATGTAATTACTGTCCTACTAGTGAATCCTCATCTGATTTTTTTCCCCATTTTTGGTTTATAACATGTTATTACATTGATTTTTGAATGTTGAATTTATCTTGTATTACTGTGCTAAATACCACTTAATGTGTTGTTACCCTTTATATCTGCTTGATTCTACTTGCTAACGTTTTGTAAAGGATTTTTGTGTATATGTTCTGTGATGAATACTTTTCTTTCCTCATGATAAGGCCTTAGTTAGGTTTATGAATATGTTGGCCTCATAAAATGACTTGGGAAATAGTTCCTTACCATATTTTTTTCTGAAAGATTTTATATAAGCTTGGTATTATTTCTCCCTTAAATGTTTGACAGGATTCACCAGTGACACTATCTAAGCCTGGAAGTTTTTCTTTGGGAAACTTTTAAATTATGACTAAAATTTCTTTAATAAAGTATTATTTAACCTTTTGTATTTCCTTGTCAGTCAGTTTTCATAAATTATGTTTTTCAGGGAATTTTCCATGTCATCTAAATTATTATTCTTATTTCGGTAAATGTTATGCTGTTCGTTATTGCCCTTTTAATATTTATAGGATCTATTGTGATGTTCCTTCTTTTTCTGTATTTATTTTTAAAAATTTTTATGTTTATTTATTTATTTTGAGAGAGAGAGAGAACGGAAGAGGGACAGAGAGAGAGAGAGAGAGAGACAGAGGGAGGGAGGCAGGGAGGGAGGGAGAGAGAAAGAATCCCAAGCAGCATTGCCTGTGCAGAGCAGGATGTGGGGCTCAGTCTCATAAGCTGTGAGATCATGACCTGAGCCATATGCTTAACCAACTGAGCCACCCAGGCACCTGTCCTTCTTTGTATTTTGGATAATTTTTGTTTTCTTTCTGGTTTTCTTGAATATGTTTGAGACGTCTTATTTTTCTCAGTCTTCTCTCAGAACCAGAGTTGGTCTTACTTTCTTTATTATTTTCTGTTTCATTGATTTGTTTTTGATTGATTGTTTCATTGATTTCTTTTTGCATTTCACAAATTTTAGAATATGGTGCTTTCATTTTCATTCTATTCAGAATATTTTCTAATTTCCCTCTGATTTATTCTTTGACTCATGGGTTATTGGGTAGCATGTTAATTCATTTTCATATGTCTGAGGAGAATCTTTTTATTAATTGATGGCTTATTTAATTTCCTTATGATCCAAGAGACTCTTTAGTATTTCAGTCTATTGGGACGTTTTTGAGACTATGTTTTACTTTGGTAAACATTCCACGTATGCTTGGAAAGAAGGTCTGTTCTGTTTGGGAGCATAGCATTCTGTATATATCAGTTAGGTCAATGTGGTTGATAACCTTATTCAGATCTGTTCTTCAAATATTCTGTTCTTCTGATTTTTTTCTGTTTGTTCTATCAGTTGCTGAGAGGAGGCATTAAATCTCCAAATATGATTATGAAAAATTACCTACTTTTCCATTTATTTTATCTGTTTTTACATCATTCCTGTAGGAACTCTGTTGTTAGGTATATACATATTTAGGATTGTTACTTTTTCCCAATGAAGTGATTTCTATCATTATGAAATGTCCCTTTATATCTCTGGAATTCTCTTACTTTGAAATCTGTCTCACTTGATATTATTGTAGCCCATTAACTTTCTTTTGCTTATTACTTGAATGGTGTCTCCTTTTCTCAGTCTTGAAAATTTTACCTATATTTGTTCTTTAAAGGAAAAGTGATTTTCTTGTAGACAGCATTTAGTTAGCTTTAACTTCTTTTCTAATCTAGCCGGACAATTTTTGCCTTTTACTTGGCATATTTAGTTCTTTCACATCTAGTGTTATTATTGTTATGTCTGCTGCATTGCTGTTGGTTTCTCTTTGGTCTTTTTTTTTTTTCCCACTGTAACTTCTTTTTTGCCTTCTTTTGGGATAATTGGAAAAATATTTTTTAGCATTTAATTTTATTTTCATTTCTGGCTTTTTGGTATTTCTGCATTTGTTTACTTATTAAAGTCTTTGCTCAAGGATTCTAGTATAGATTCTTAGTCTACTTAGAATTAATAATACATCACTTCCCACTGCACAAATATAAGAACCTGGTAAGAGTATAATTCCATTTACCTGTTCCTGGACCCCTCTTTTTTGTGTAATTGTTGTTATATCTTTTATAGATGATATGAACCCAATTTATGATATTATTCTTTTTGCTTTAAAACAGCCACTGTCTTTAAGGAGATTAAAAAACCATAGAAAATCTTTTATATTTTTCTTCATATTTATTATTTCTGGCACTATCCAGTCCTTCATGAAGTCTTATATTTATCCAATATCATTTCCCTTTAGCCCAAAGAATATCCTGTAGTATTTCTTATTGTAGTTCTCTTGGGGAGACAAGAATGCACTCTCTCCTTTTTGAGATTATCTTCATTTGGCTTTATTTGAAGAATTTTTTCACTAGCTAGAGAATTCTGGGTGGATAGCTTCTTCAGAACTTAAAACATCTTACGGTATCTTTTAGATTCCTTATCTGCTGAGAATCAGCCATCATTTGTGTCTTTTTTCCCTACATGTAATAATTCTTTGTTTGCTTTCATAGTTTTCTCTATTCTTGTTTTTAGCACTTGGACTATGCTATACTTAGCTATGGTTTTCTTAGTACTTTTCTTCCTTGTGTTTCATTGATATTCTTGGATCTGTAAGTTGAGGTTTTCGACAAATTTGGGAAATGTTCAGCTGTTATTTCATTATATTACCCCCCTCCCCAACGATTTCTGTCTACTCTGACATTCAAATTACACATATGTTAGATTGTTTAATATTACCCTATAGGTCACAGAAACTCAGTTTATTTTTTAATTTTTATTTTTCATCCTTTTATTTCTTCTGGTTGCATAATTTCTCCTTCCATTTCCAACCTTCTGTCAAGTACATCCAGAGCATATTTTATTTCAGTTATTATTCTTTTTAGTTCTAGAATTTCTACTTGTTTCTTTATTTAAAGTTTTAATTTCTCTGCTTATACATTTGTTAAGATCAGATTCTTCTTTACTTCCTTGGGCCTGTGTCTAAAAACTACTTTAAAGTATTTATCTGCTAAATCCAGCATCTGGGCCATCTCATGTCTATTTATATTGACTGCTTTTCTCTTGACTGTGAGTCATATTTAATGAGTTTTGACAAATGCTTTACCTGTGTAACTTATACACCAGTCAAGTTGTACAAGATCAATATGACTCCAGCTACTTTCCACAATAATCCAGTGTCCTGATTTCTATTATTTCAGATTAGTTTTGCCTGTTCTATAATTTCATAAAAATGGAATCATACAGTGTATGGTCTTTTTGTGTTTGGTTTCTTTTATTCAACATTTCTGTTCATGTCATCCATACTGTTGCATCCTCAGTCATTTATTTTTAGTTGTTGAGAAATATTTCACTGTCACAGTTGAACTTATCACAATTTTTTATTATTCTGTTCTGACATGTGGCTCCTTTCCAGCTTTTGGCTACTGTGAATAAAGTTTGTTCTTGTGTAAGTGTTTTTGTGAACACTTCTCTTGAATTAATACATAGGAGTGAAATTACCTTATTTTAAAGTTCTGCAAATTTGTTGCTGTTGTTGGTGTTTTAAAGCTTGTAATCCATGATTACTTGATTTATAATATTTACCACTTTGCTTTGCTCATCATTGCTTCTTGCATCTCACTCTGTCTTCTGAGTTTAGTTTCTTTTTTGTGAATTATATCTATCATCAGTGCATTTAGTGGTCATCTGTTAATGACAAGCCCTTTAAAAGTTTTTATTTTGCTCTCACCTTCAAGAATTCTTTTACTGTGGAAAATATCAAACATACGAGAGTAGAAAGAATAATACATATGCTCTCAGGTAGCCCTCCCAACTTCAGAATGATCAGTTCATCACTGATCTGATGTATCTCTACTCCTGCTACGTCTCCAAGCTCTCTTGTGGATAGTTTGAAGCAAATCCCAGATATCATTTCATCTGTAAATATTTGTACATGTGTCTCTAAAGCAGTAACATTTCTGTAGACCTGATAACATTTCACTCCTAAGAAAAATTAAAAACAAGTCCTAGATGTCATCAAACAGCTAGTCCGTGTTTAGATTTCTCCAATTGGATCAAAAATACCTTTTAGTTATTTTGAATGAAAATCCAGGTAAGGCTCATTTATTGTGATGAGTTGATATGTATCTTCAGTTAAAGTTTAATCTGTATGTTCTTCTCTTTTTCTTCCATCCATTGTAGTTTCTGAAGAGACCATGTCTTTTGTACAGTAGACTATGTTCTTATTTTTATTGTTGCATCCCCATGAGGTTGTTTAAACAGGGTTCTCTGTCAACTGTATTTCTGTGAATTGGTAGTTAACTCTACAGTCTTGAACAGATTTGGGCCATTTTGAGGAAGGGGTGGGAGGTAGGATAAATGGAAGGGTAGTTTTGTGTACTTACCTCAAGAGATACATTGTGTCTGATTGTCTTTGTGATATATGCAGCCTTTGAAAGATTTTTAGCCAGATCTTCATTTAATTAAGGGTCTTCCTCAGGGTAGGATGTTAATTTAACTGTAGTAGAAGTCTAGATTGTCCCTATTTTTTGGTCTCAGCATTTAGATGATTATGTGCTAATGGTTCTTTATTCATCTCAAACTTATTTTCCATTTATTTCCTTTGTTTTGTTTTTCTCTTTCCTATTTTTGCCTTCTTATAAATTATTTGACTTTTTTTTGAACTCCTTTTTAATATATCTCTTGGAATTTATAGCTATCTCTTTGCTTTATTTTTTAAGTGACTGTTCTCATGATTATAAAATATCCTTAACCTTTCACAGTCTACTTAGAGTTAATATTGTACTACTTTATGTAAAATGTACACGTCCTGGAATTTTATGGGTCCAACTACCAATGAACTTGGAGTCATTTCAGTGGCCAGTGTGGAGGTGTGCTGGTGGTTCTGTGCTTCCATTCAGACAATAACACACACAGTTCCTCAGATTGACTTGCTTGTTGTTTTTAAATGTTTTTTTTTTTTTTTTAAATTTCTGAGAGAGAGAGAGAGAGAGAGACAGACAGACAGACAGCATGAACAGGAAAGGGTCAGAGAGAGAGGGAGACACAGAATCCAAAGCAGTCTCCAGGCTCTGAGCTAGCTGTCAGCACAGAGCCCGACCCGGGGCTCGAACCCACGAACTGTGAGATCATGACCTGAGCCGAAGTCGGCCGCTTAACCGACTGAGCCACCCAGGCGCCCCTTGCTTGTTGTTTTTAAAGTGTTATGTGGATACAGTGTTTTACAGTTTATGATTTTGGTTACGTTTTCATAAAACTTTAGTTTTATTCACTAAGGGGAGAGGAATTCTTTTAATCATAGGCATTGTCTACATGTCTGATTTTGGCCTTTGGTAATTTAAAGCAGGTAAGAATGTGGTTGGTCAGGGCATTGATCCCTCTTTTGTGAAAACAACTCAACCACCTTCTAACCAAAAGTTCCATTTCATTGTCTTTATTCACTAAGTTGCTATGAAGAACCAAAGTTGGAGAAGACAGTCCCTGACTTCAAAGAGTTTAAGGTCTAGATAGAGAACTATACATGTGTATCTTCAGCTATGTGATATAAAAATGAAAAACCCCACCTTATTCTAGGGCAGAATGTAGTACTTGAACCAGTTAGTGACTGGACTGGGGTTGGATTACCCTTCAGATAGAAACAGGAACACTGGATATTAGACCGTTTTAGGAGTACCCTAATTGCTGTTATTTAATTGAAAGGAAATAACATTTTATTTGAGGATAGCCATAATAATACTATATTTTTCTAATATTCTTTAAGGATATTTTTTAAGAATTTGTATTGTTAGATTTGCTACAAATGAAATGTGGCAAACTTGCAGGCAAGAAAATGTCTACATAGTTGTTTACATTTTGTCTCTTTTCCTTTCAATACTGTTCACAGGATTTAGTAGCCTAGCGGCCGCCTACTTGAATCCAGTAAAATCCTTTGTGCCGCAGATGCCAAAGCTCTTGAAGTCGCTCTTCCCTGTCCGCGATGAGAAAAGGGGCAAACAGCTGTCTCCCCTTGCACATCAGGTAAAAGCATCAGGAAGGCAATGGTGAACATTTCCTAATTCCTGGTGGAATGATGCTCTGTGTTGTCCCACTGATGCTGGAAGGGAGGGATAGCAGTGGTGAGGGGCCTTAGAACCAGTCTTTTCAGGCCTAGTAAAGGCTTGTGATCATTTCTGCTCCACTCTCTTCAGAGGTAACAGAGCTGTTGAAACTTACTGACAGTCTCAATCCTTTCTGCTTTTAAAAAATGCCGAGTACACTGCTAATGTGATTTATGGTAATATTACTTAGAGCAACAATAGTAAAATTTATGAAGTGCACTTAGTGTTGTTTGTGTATTGCCAAACAGAAAATGTAATTCTATTTTTAATTCTTGATTTCATTTCTTATTTCAAACAATTTTATATCATCACTGCCCTTCCCTCTCCACCTCTTTTCCCTCTGCTGTGGTTTACCTATTCCTTCATTTAAAATATTACAAGTGATCAATTGTCTTATTTCCCCTTTTTCTTAAAACTCTCCACCAAGCCTTCAAATAAGTTTTAGAGAAAATCTTAGAGGGTTTTCCACATAATCAGGAAACTGCTCTTATGTGATGGTGAATGGGAAGCCTGTGGGAAATGTAATTTCCAGCCTTATGTAGGTGTGAATTCAGCAGAAAATGATAAATGAGGATTTATTTATACTCCTTCAAAAACACATATAGTGCAAGTTCAGATGTTGAAATAGGTCTTTTGACATCAGCTTATCCACATTCACTTAAAACATTCAAGTTGCAGAAATGCAGGTGAGTCCTTGTTCGAGACTTTAACTACTTAAAATAATTTTCTGAGTTTACGAATGCATATTCAAGGGGGCTGGTATTAGTTTTGTAAGGCTGCAATATAGATATATAATTTTTTTCAACCTTGCATTATATAAACATGTACTTAAGCAGACACGTATACATACTGGATGAAAAAAATCATGATTTTGGATGTTTAAACTAAATGTAAGCACATAAGGAGTGCTTGACAGTTACCAAAGGACTCTATGAGGTAAAAGAAATAGCAAGTCTAATTCTTGGTTGGGTTTAGCCAAAAATTATTTTTCCAAGATTTGCATACATTATTCTGTTATTATGTCATTGTTCTGTAATGTACCATGCATGGCCTCTCTTGTGTCAGAATTTCCATTTTTTAAGAATGTAACTTTAAAAAAATCAATACCAGCATGACCTCGTACCCATGCCTATTTGGGGGTGCCTTTATAATCTGTATTTACAAGCACCCAGGTGATTTTTATCAAAATACAAGGTTTGATAACCACCATTTTCCAATTGTTATTTAATGAAAACAGTTATTGAAGTTAAAGGAAATTGGCATGTCATTAGAAGTTATTGAATCAGACTATAGTTATAGTTAGTTTTGCAGTGCTGCTTTGAGTTTTTGATGTTGCAAGTCAAATCACCCGCTATAATAAATTATTTTTACTGTTTTGCCGGTAAATGATTGGTTCTTCTGGATATGAGAGAAACAATAATGTGTTAGAAAGAAATGTAGTGATTGGCAGGTAACTGCATTTTGTAATGTCCTGTTTAAGAAAGGTGATCTTGAGAGATTTCAAAGATACCTTGTGCAATATTTGTCCATTTAGTTTACCTTTTTTGAGCATATATGAGCAATGGTATTGGAGAGAGTGGCCCCAAATAGTTAACATTTCATAAATGAATGATAATATAAATACAAAACTGGCCTTAATGAAAATGCCCAGTGGTGGAGCTAAATGGCCCAGTTTGTGAAAGCTTGAGCCTACTGAAAGACCTTTCCTGAAGGTCACAGGGGAGCTGCATCTTGCCTGCACCATTCCAGTCCTCATCTGACTTGACATCATACCTGAAACACTTGCATCTCGAGGCTCCAGTGCTGTGATGTTTGCCTGGCATCTCTTCCGCTGACTGCTCAGTCTTTCTCAACTGCCTTTTTGGGGACCATCTATTCCATCAAGCTGCAAATATTCAGGTGCCCCAGAGCTCCATTCTGGGCCTTCTTTCCATGGGTCATCTCATTTACTTCCATGACTATAACTATTTATGCATTTTCAGTGCTCAAATTTCTCTCACCAGCCCAGACTTTGCCCCTGATCTTTGGCTTCATGGAGCCAACTGCCCATTAAGCTTTTCCACTCATAAATCAATTAGGCATTCACCTTTTACAAGTCCGGAACATTACCATTGGTTTCAGCACACAAGTCTGTTTACTCCCAACACACAGACTACTTAAAAATACATGTGCTTCTCAGAATGCTGCGTAAACATCCACCTAGTTGCTCCTATCGCAAAGAGTCCATCAGTAAAATAGGTACTGCTTCCAATCCAAGTGACTTTTGACGATCTCCATTTTTCATCAGTCATTCATGCCACCATCGTCTCTTGCCTACATTATTCCAACAGCCTACATACAGGTCTGTCTGACACTTTTTGCCTCATGAAGTCTATTATTCGTGAAGTAGCCAAAGTGACCTTCCAAAGTCTTACTTTAATTCATGGCTTGAAATCTTCCACTGCTTCTCACTAAAACTGAATAAAATCTAAATTTCTTACTGTGCCTTACAGCATCATTTATGATCTGTTCCCCTGACTTTTAATCTTTATGTCTTTTATTTCTTCTTTGTTTACCATACTAAGTCATGTTGGCCTTTTCTCCTTCCTTCCCTGCTTCCTTCCTTCTTCCCTCCCTTCCTCCCTTGCCTCTTAATGTCATGAACACATGAAGTTCATTTTCGTCTCAAGAATTTTTTGCATTTGCCTTTCCTTATACTAGGAATACTCTTTCCCAAAGTCTTTACATGGCTACTAGGTCTCTAGTAGAGCGATCTACCATTTAGAGTGGTCAAAATAAGCCAGTGTAAGGAAGTATGCTTGCACTTAGAGAGGCTTTGACCAGCTAAACTAAAACAACAGCTTCTACCACATCAGTATACTATTACCATATTTAGTCTTTTAATTGAATGTTATTGTTATGTTTATATGTTTATTGATTAGCTTTTATCTAGAATTGGTTGACCATTGACACATATGCAGATTATAATATTAGTTTGTATGTGTTAAGTGTCATCCAGTAGTATAAAGTACTATGTTTGCAGTTTAGAGGTGAGGGAATCACATGTGAGTGGGGATTTGCAATATCAAGACATGATTATGAACTTTCTTTCCTAGATTGATGGAAGTTCCACTAAAGAACTATTCCTAAGGAGGGGTAAACTTAAGCTTATAATCAGGACTTAGTTGATGAAAGATGCTTGTGCTCAACGTCATTTTTATTGACTGTCTCTGATAATGCTCTCAGGGAAGTAAAGCATAATTTTAAATGACATTGCCAATATGGAGTTTTCTCTTATTTAAATATGCTTTAAGTTGTTGCTACCTAAATGGTGTTTCATCCTTGGAAATGGAGCCCTGTAATGCGAATGGAATTTCAAAGTAACAGCAATAAGAACAAAGCTGTATTGGTTAGACGACTTAAGTGCTCCCCAATTTTTTTTAAATAGTAGTCTTTACTATAATGGCATCCCAGTCACTTGGAAATCAGCTTTGATACCTAAAGGTGAGGGTCTTACTGTTGTTGATGACCTGTCCTGCCTCTCCTTGTGGAAGCTCTTAGTCTTCGAGAAAACAAGTCCACTTATTTCTGACCAGCTTTGCCTCAGGGTTTCCTCTGGTGTTACCTACTAGTTAAAAGGAGGGGAGGAGGAGGTTCTCTCCAGACTTAATTAACCGCTATAGGTTAGTCTATGATCTCAGAGAGCAAATGCTCCATCATTCTTCCTGTTGCCTTGTCAGAGTCTTGCTTCAAGTAGGGAGCCCGGAAGTATTTTCAAGCCCACCCTTGAAAATAATGCAATCATCATCTTCCTCTTCTAAATAATGTACTTCTACCAAAGCAACATATGATTGTACTTTTTTTTTTAAAAGCCAGTATTAACTCGTTGTGTTTCGGGTCAGTGAACATTTATTTGTTTGTTTGTTTACACTCTTGTCAGTGCAGTTCTTTTCTTTTATTACTATGTTATCTAGTCGATGTGTAAAAATACTTAAGGAACTTTAGATTCATTTCTAAAATTTTTCATCTTAATTTTGTTTTAATGCTCCTAGAATATCAAGGTATTTCTTGAGTAATTATTTAGAAAATACATTTGATCTAGGTATCTCTGCAGATTTTTCAAGGGCAGAGTCTGTCTTCATTTGAATCATAAATAAAATAATTGAACATTAGAGGACCTAAGAGAGAACCCTATCATAGATAACTAAAGATCACTCCTCAAGTCACAGTGTGACAGATCAGCATATTTCAGCTTTCTATGTTCAGTAACTACCATCTCCAGTCCACATTTCTTCCTCTCTCTACCAAAGAGATCATGGGCGACTTTGTTAGATACATTATGGGAATAAAGGGACACCATGTCCATGGTCTTTTGCTATATCACTAGCCTTGTAACAAGCCTAAAACACATTCATGCTGGCGAACATTCCTAGACGACTCTGTTCACTGCCTGGCTTTGCCATAGCTCTGTGTGAAGAATCTAGTGTTATCACTTACCAGTAGCATAAGAAATACATAAATGCCATGAGCTTTGCTCTCCTTTTTGATTCTGTGTTTTATTTGCTGCTAGTGCTTTGTTAGTGCACTCATTTCAATGGTCTATATAAATAGTCATTAAATAATCAATATCTGAGACTAAAAAACTTGGTGTGTTATAGAATAACATCAACGACAGAACCCAGAAAAATAGAAATCAGTGCATATGCCTAAAAGAAATCTGGATCAATTCTACAGTATGGGAAAGGATAAATTATTAATACTGCATAAGATGTAGCAATAATACATAGTAACCTTGCTGAAGATATATAAAGTGAAACAGCACAAAAAACCCAAAAAACCCCACATGGTTTGAGTATCAACAGAAACAATATGTGGTAACCAAATAGACCGTGTGTGATAGGACAATCTTTTATTTCTACTTCACCCCTAACTTTCTCTTTT